TGGGCCAGTGTGTGTTGTGATTGGCACCACTCGGCGCCTGGTCGGGAAATGTCACGCCCTTTACCATAACCACCTGCAAGCTTCAGTGTAAATATTGCGTCAAAATCAAATCAATTTGAGCGCGATTTAAACCCGGATGATTGTAACCACTCTAAGTTCGTCTGCCTTGGGAAAGCTAGCGTGTCTCCGACATAGCGATAACACTCGTTGCCTTCTCTAGTGCAGCTCAACCAAGGTCTCGTCCCATTCGTCGGAAAATATGCGTTGTAGTCCAAACGAGTCGTTCATTGTAGTTTTTGAAAAGTGATTTCTGCTAAATAAAATATCTCCTTTTGAATTGGACTTTGAGCTTTGTAACTTTGCAGATCTTTTTTATGCTCAAACAGCAACATTACAGACTAACTAAAATTGAAAAAGTGAAAAAGCATAATAGGACCCCTTTAAGTCAGAATGTGTCTTTCTTACCAACATATCTTACAGTGATCTAAGATATAAGATCTTACTTTAATGCTACGTTTATAGTGTTTAGCGTTTTTATAATAAGATCATCTGGAATATATGTGCATGTTCCAGCCCAGTATTGAGCGAGAACAGTTTGGAGACTGTGTAGGAAGTTCAGAAAAAAGGCGAGCGGAGCAGCTTTCTGGTGCAGGATAGTAAACAGAGCGAGTCTTTTGTACAAGGCCGACACTACGCACTGTAATTCTCACCAAACACCAGCACACAGAGAGAGATCTCCAGAACACAGCCTGTGTGAGCTGAGACTAATATCACACAGAAAGAAACACAGAATGTGTCTAATAGATAAAACCAGTGAAAGGTCAAAAACAATAGCGGGAGAAAATGTAGATAATTTATGTATTCAGTCAATATGGATTTTTAAGCAGTGAAATCAGTGAATGATAAAAATCATAAAAGTGAAATCAGTTACAGTGCTTGTAGTATCTCAAATGAAAGCCCAATACCTTTATCTCAATGAATACATAAACGTGAAGTTGTAAAAGTTTAATGTGTGTGAGAGAGAAAAATCTAAAAGATAAGTGTAACTTTGCATTAATATGAATTTTCATTCAGATTTCCTGAACCAGTCTGCTATTGGTTGACCAAACAGAAAGTACCATTCCAAAACTACTCCATGGTTGAACCGGTGTTGCTGGCTTTGTTTTGTTTTAGCATGTTGGCTAACTTGAGTCCAAGTTCAATACAAGTGTCCAAAAATGATGAAGTATTGGAACATAAATTAACAATAATAAAGCGGAGCTGATGGTAAAGCATTCAACTCACATTTGTTAGGTGTCTTAAGTGTGAAAAGTACTCTTTACTACTACTACAAAAAAAAAAGAGTAAAATAATACAGATGTATGCAAAATGTGACACTTTGTTTACCATTTGGGGGGAAATCATAGTTAACTCATTAACTCATAGTTATCTTTGCACATTAAACTGGGATATAATAAATTATTTAACATGGGGAAAAAATGACATTTTACATCTACTTCACACGTAGCACCACACATGACATAATATATATATATACATTTACATTTAGTCATTTAGCAGATGCTTTTATCCAAAGCGACTTACAAATGAGGACAATGGAAGCAATCAAAATCAACAAGAGAGCAATGATATGCAAGTGCTATAACAAGTCTCAGTTAGCTTAATGCAGTACATGTAGCAAGGTTGTTTTTTTTGTTGTTGTTTTTTTATTATATAATAAATAAAAAGAAAACAGATAGAATAGAAAAAGAATAGAGCAAGCTATTTCGTATATACATATAGATATCGTGGCCATGACTTATTAATTTGTGAACACATTGTACGTCCTTCGTTATAATTCCGTTAAATTGTGTCCATGAATTAGTAGGCTACAACAAACATTACCTAAAACAAGGGAACAAATAAATAAAGTGGCAACAAATTCTTAATTCATTGTCAAGATATCTTGTTTTCCCCCCCTGTAGGCCTATCTTATGTCCGTGGCTCTGTAACATCAACAGCTTGTGTGTCAATAACATAATGTCATCTGTAAGTTAGAACAGTTGCGTTGGTCTTCATTTTTGTGTGTTCTTAAAGATGAAGTGTTGCCTTAAGCGTTAGTGAGGATCTGACATTCCTCATCCTTCTACCTTAATCGCACGCATTTGTGTAATCTCATCATAATATATAACTTTATTAGTTTAGCACAGAAGCATGGCCGTTACCAGTTTTAACATCTTAGGAGTTAAATGTAGTGCCATGCACACATTACCACATGTCTACATAGATAGGCATACCAGAGGGATGTGTGTTAATTAAGCAGCAACCGGTCTGGGTGTGAGGGAGGTGACCTCTCTTGACAGATTAATGGGCCGCAGAGGGAACTGAGGCTACTGAAAAGACACACACACACTGTCTGTTGAGACGGACACACTTATTCGTTTCATATTATTATTATTCATGACAAAATTTTGTAGTAATGATGTGTTTTCTATACACTTAAAACATGATTTGCAGAGTGATGAATGCACTAGCCTACATTAGTAAGGCTGTCAGTCATGTAGTTGAATAGCATAACAGTCTGGATTTTTAGCAAGCATATTGAACTTCCAGTATGCTGCTCAATGCTTTCTTTCTTCCCTCCCCCTTTCTACTTTTTCCTCATTTTCTCTCCATCCTCTCCCTTGCTGCATGGGCTCATTTTTTCCACTCTCTCCAGGGACACATTTTTTCTGTAGTCATATGCATTTGAGTCTAAGAGGTTTATGTTTGACTGAGTAAACGTTTCATTAGTTGATATTAATGCATTTTTTTTGGTCATATTATGTGTGTGTGTGGTCCCAGATTATCCTTAATCTTTCTCACTCTCTCTATAATAGATGTACATGTTTGAATATACAACACATCATCACCATGTAGAATAGAGAAGATAAAAACAAATATGGCCAGATTTTTTTCGCTTTGTATTTGTGAGTTTTTGTGTGGGAGCTTTTAAAGCTGGTTCCAATTATATCAATTTACCATTTTATGATGATATAATTCATGGAGTATTATGTCATTTGTGGAGCAAGGCTCTGTCACAACCTTTAGCAATGATCTAAATCTACTCTGTATCATTATTTAATACTGTGTTTGACACAGTTCAAAATCAACCATTTTTAGGACAGTTTTAGGGCATGCAGTTTCTAAGCTTTGGAACACCAAGTGTTTGAGAGCATGCTATCATAACTACAGGTTTTCCCAATTAAACCTTCTGTATTTTGGGTTGTGGCTTAACTATGTATTCTTTATCAATCGCATTGACTGAGATGCCCACATATAATGTCCTCTATCATTTTGTGGTGTTACATACACAGACTTACTTTTCTGGTTGCCTGCTCTGCTGATGTAAACAAGTCATGAGTGGTTTGAACACTTTGTTGGTGTGGAGCCGCTGGCCTAAAACTGGCAGATCAGCGAATGGATACATCTCGATTAGTCTCTCAGTACTCCGTCATGGGTGGTGTCACAAATGGTCCCACTTCTCCTGCTCTACATTTTGTCTTTCAGTGATAAGTCATGGGGCAGAGATAAAGATGCTGAAAGCTGCTTAATCAGTGTTTTAAGTTAAAGTGTGCCATTTTTCAGTGTTAAAGCACTTAATATGGAACTATAGCATGAGTAAGCCATTTGTAGGTTGATTTTCCTGAACACTGTGGCTCTGTGGTGCTTTCAAAACATTGATCTTTCTGTTTGAGCATTGCCCGACAACAGTAACAAGGATTCAGCCAATAGTTTGAGATTGGGGCGGAGCTATTTGTTTGTCTGACCAATGACAGATGAGTGGATGAGGAAACCTGTTTGATAACAAACTATAAGTACAAGTTTAAAAGTTTGTCTCCGCTAATGGCTTTCCTTTAATTAATATTGTGACAGATTCACTGTATACCAACTGCACTTGGAGTTTGTTTTTCATTCACTTCATTTTCCATTGTGTGCAGTGTGTGTGCAGTGTGTATCTGAACTCTTAATCCCAGCGATTAAACTGTGAAACCAAGTAAAGGTCTGCAGTTGGCCAGTTGTGCCCCAGAATCCTGTCAAAGCTCTGTGAGTCATTGTGTGTGCAGTAATTCCAGCAGGAATCTGGTCCTACCTGAGGGGTGGTATTGGAAAATGACATAGCTATGAAAAATAACACATCATTTAGCTTCTGCTCTACCATTGTGCCTATTAGGAAAATAAAACTAGCTGGTCAGCAGCAGTGAAAGTGATGTAAGCAGAACCATAAAACAAGGAGTAGATTTCACATAGTTTTGCAAGTATTGGCTTTTCACAACAGGAAGTTGAAGCAATGATCCTGAAACTTTAGCAAATATTGAGAGTTTTATGAATAGTTCTTATAAAAGTTATGGAAAATATTATATACACTACCATTCAGCTTCTCCATCACAGCAAATAAATTACATTTTAAAATATATTCAAATAGAAAACAGTTATTTTAGATTCTATTAATATTTCGCAATATTACGGTTCTTACTATATTTTTGGTCAAATAAATGCACCCTTGTTGAGCATAAGAGAAAAAAACTTTTTCCCCGTACAACTTTTTTTTGAAGTTTTGTGTAAAATCCTAAATATACAGTCGTTTGAGTCCAATAAATGTGCTCGTTTTAATTTATTTAATAAATTATTTTTTTTTTTTTGATATTTTCATTACAAATTATATTCTCAGCATAACAATTTCAAAATTATGAAATATGCATACATTTCAAAATTTCTCCACTGTATATCAGAAAGTATGAACTGTTTACTCCGTATAGCCCACATCCCTTTTATTCTCACAGATCTCTACATCACATTTTGCTAATCTTTTAAAAAATACTGCATTATATTTCTCTGCCTACCACTGATTATCTGTTTTGTCAAAGCAAGTGATGTTTCTGCTATTTATGAGAAAAAAAACACATTTTCTCTGAGTAAGAGATGCCTGCCGACATCCAGGAACCTATTAACTTCATCCATTTTTTTTCTTTTGTATGTAGGCAGAGGGATCTCTCACCATGGCTCCGTTCCTGCGGATTGCCTTCAATGATTTTCACCTGGGAGACCTTCCCCCTATGACAGAGCAACCATTCTGTGCCATCAAGATGAAGGAATCACTCAGCACAGGTCAGTGAGGCTTTTAAACAGAGCGTAACGCTTTCTGCAAGGTAAAATTCAATGCAATGCTGCCTTAGAATTTGGCTTAAACAGGGAAACTTAGGATGGAATTATAATATCATTAGCATTTATTCCTCTCTTTGTCCACCCAGAGCGGGGGAAGACACTGGTCCAGAGGAAGCCCACTATGTACCCTGCGTGGAAATCCACATTTGACGCACACATCTATGAGGGCCGTGTCATACAGGTGGTCCTGATGAAAACGGCAGAGGAGGCTTTGTCGGAGGCCACGGTCGGGGTCTCTGTCATTGCTGAGCGCTGCAAAAAAGGAAATGGTCGTGCCGAGTTTTGGGTCGACCTGCAGCCTTCTGGGAAGGTGATGATGTCTGTCCAGTTCTTCGTAGAGGATTCAGACCAAGGTGAGTACATGTAAGCATATATACTGTACCGTTCAAAAGTTTTTTGGGGTTAGTAAGGTTTTGTAATGTTTTTGAAAGAAGTCTCATTCGAAGTTTATTTGATCAAAAATACAGTAAAAACTGTGTTTTGAAGATATTTTGAAATATTATTACAATTTTAAAATAACTGATTTCTATTTGAATATATTTTAAAATGTAATTTATTCCTGTAATGACAAAACTGAATTTTCAGCAGCCATTACTCCATGCTTCAGTATCAAATGATCCTTCGGAAATAATATAAAATATAAATCTTTTACATATAACATTTATAACTGTGTTTACAGTCACTTTTAGTCAGTTAAATGGATCCTTGCTGAATAAAATTATTTATTTATTTCTATGCCATATTTATTATTTTCTTACTGAACCCAAACTATTGAAAAGTAGTAACGGTGGTATTTTTCCCAACCCTTTTTTAGACGACTAGATTAATAGAGAACTTTTTCTGATCCAAGTTCTGTCTTGATTAGCAAAAAGTCATATTTTTAAAACATTAATTTAAAACTATGGAAGGCCTATTTCTGTAAGCAGTGTCTACTCCCTGCTTCGGTTTGTTCCACTCTGGTTTTCCCCTGTTTCTTTAAATTCAGTCTTCTCTTTTTTCCATTATCTCACCACCCTCAGATACCAGCTTAGTCCTGTCAGCTGGTATCTGTCCTGTCTTTGTTTACTCATGCATCTTACTCATATTTTCATGCTGGTCCTCTTTCTGGCATCTTATTATTATTTTTTAATATTATAGCAGATTTGCTTTTTGTATCTCACTGTGTACTACCAGTGTTTACTGTAAGAATGTTTATTGTCAAGACTTTGAACTCAACAATAACTGGTGTCAAATATTGTGACACTCTGTGGTAACACACAGAGGGCAAAACCATCAATCTCAACCCGTGAGAGTTTTGTTTAGTTTTGTTACTTCTGTAACTCTTGGCAGGAAATGAGCTGATAGTGATCTATAAAAATGCTGAAGGCACCATAAACAGAAAAGTCATTATGCACCCCATAAATTTGTTTAGTATCTTAAAGTCAATGTTTAGGCATAAGGTACTAATAAATATCCCATTTAGGCATATTTAGTCCAGATATGAAAATTCTGACAATATTTAATTTTGGGTGAAATATCATATAGCAATGTAATTTAATATTAATGTGCAAGGAAAGTTAATTTTAATTCAGTGACTAGAAATAAACTGTCTATTTCAAATGACCCTGTTTTGACCTTCTTCACAGAATCAAAGTCCTCAGTGACTGGGAAAGAGGAAGACGGCGTCCTCACAATAAACAGAAGGAGAGGAGCCATCAAACAGGCCAAAGTTCACTTTATCAAGAACCATGAGTTCACAGCCACCTTCTTCAAACAGCCCACCTTCTGCTCGGTCTGCAGGGAGTTTGTGTGGTTAGTATATAAATAAATGAATTAAAGAAAACAAATAGAAATACAGTGACACTGTTTTTGCACAGTGATCTCCCCATGTCTAATAGCTTCTGTGCATGGTAACAGTTTTACCAAAAATTACCATTTCATAACCAGATTTTGTTTAGAAGAATTTTGTCACTTTTTGTTGACGCTATGATGCTAGATTGTTGTTGGTGGTTGCCAGGGCTTTGCTAGGCGTTTTTTGGGCTTTTCTAGGTCAGAAGAGCCCAAGCCACATAATATTATATATGACATTGTGGAGTGGTTCCTAGATATGACATAGATCCTTGCACATACGTTTTTTGCACTTTTTTCACATTATAAAATCCACAATTGAAAAATTTGATTTTTTTTTTTTAGAGGTATCATTTCCATAGCAAAACAATACAGGAAAAGTTAGATGCAAAATACTTGGATTTTTGGGGTTAGCATAATGCTTTGGGATCTAGGCTATAAAAGCAAAGGTTGCAGGTTCAATTCCAAATTGGAATGACCCAGAAACTGAAGAATTACTGAGATTACAAAGCAGCTCTGATGTGCCCTTAAACAAGGTACTTTTCAATCAAAGTGATGCATAATCCATAATTGGCATACTGTAACAGGTTAGTCCAGGGAGCCAGGAGCCAGCGAGATCATTCACTTTGTATGAACAAACGCATCATAAATAGTCAGTAAGAAAATATTGCAAGAAAATATTAGTTCATCACTATCAGAAATCTGAAATGATTCCAAATTGCATCTCACGTAGGCATAACTGAAAGTAATCTTAAGCAGCCAGAAGAGTCTGGCAGCAATAATCTTAGTGTGTGTGTGTGTGTGTGATTGTAAGTCGTAGTATTGGATAGCATCTGTGTTTGTGTGCGCAAGCAAGCGCACTCGGACTGTCCTCTGATATTTCAGCCGCCTCAGCAGAGTCCCTCGGGCTGTCTCTTTCCTGTGCAGTGTGAGACAGATTGTTATGCCTTAGTGCTTTGTTCATGCTGTGTACAGTATATAAATGTAAAGGTATTGGAGAGAGCCAGTGCTCCAGATTCTCCCTAATAAGAGTTTTAAATGTATACCATTTGTGTATTAACAGTCCATTATCACCCGCTGTGTACAAATATCAGTACTCCAACACACTCTTTTTGCATTCCAGGGGTCTCAACAAGCAGGGCTACAAATGTAGGCGTAAGTATCTTCACAGATTTCTCAATCTTTTGTAGACACTCCCATTTGGTTCTCAGTAAGGACACACTTTATACATGTTAGTCGATTTGTTCCTTGAACAACAGATTAGTAATTTAATGTTACATTTTGACCTGGTTTTTCTATGTGCCACATAAATGATCCTCCTGTGGAATTAACATAATGGGCTCTTTTTAAATCTGTTTTTAATAAGATATTTTGTACTATTAAATTAATTAAAAGGTAATTTGCACACATTAAACCTTACTGCCCCCTTGCTATTTTCCAGAATGCAATGCAGCCATTCACAAGAAGTGCATTGATAAGATCATTGGGAGATGCACAGGAACAGCAACCAACAGTCGAGATACAGTGGTAAGCATTAGTGTTCTGAACCTCCGACATAGAAACACACTTGATCAGCAAGGGGTCCGTGACCATGAGAGGGTCCAAAGCAGTTCTGTCGGGAGGCCTCCAATTGTTAAAGGATCTGAAACCAATTTTTTATAAAAAAAATAAACTTTAACTTTTACAATGTTAGGTTATTTTATTTAATATACAGTATATTGTGTATATAATGTATCATGGTTTCCACAAAAATATTAACACAATATCACAATAATAATATGAAATGATACTGATAAATAATAAAACATGTTTCTTAAGCACCAAATCAGCATATAATATCAAAATCAGAATTATTTCTGAAGGATCATGTGACAATGAAGTCTGGAGTAATGGCTGCTGAAAATTCAGCTTTGCCTTCACAAGAATAAATTACATTTAAAAATATATTACAATTAAAATTGTAATTGTAAATTGTAAAATAAAGTTATTTTAAATTGTAATGTACTGTATTTTTTATCAAATAAATGCAACCTTGATGAGCATAAGAGACTTGTGACTTGTAGTGTATATATATTTATACATGTATAAATATCTCTGCATATATGTATTATATGTGACTCTTTACATTGATGTAATATTTTAGAATATTGTTATTGCTATTGTAGATAAGTATTATAATATATGATTATGTTATGACTTTGCACTCTAAATATCATAAAGTATCTAAATACATTAATATGCATTAAAATGCATCTTTCTGATGCGGACTTGTGACTTGTAGTGTATATATATTTATACATGTATAAATATCTCTGCATATATGTATTATATGTGACTCTTTACATTGATGTAATATTTTAGAATATTGTTATTGCTATTGTAGATAAGTATTATAATATATGATTATGTTATGACTTTGCACTCTAAATATCATAACAAAGTATCTAAATACATTAATATGCATTAAAATGCATCTTTCTGATGCCAGCCTTAACCGTTTTGGGTCAAGGACTTTTAACAAGGACGTTCTGAAGAAAGAAACATTCACTTGCAGTTCCAAAGGGCTGGTCCTTGTTTCCAATCCCAATAGCAAACTGAGCAAGGATCAGAGTCTGTCAGTAATCAATAGAAGGCCAAGACATTGTAAAAGTAGAGCAGCCGTGTCAAAATATGTCAGGGTAACTAAACTAAACGCAGGCCATTTTAGCTTCTTACATCCAACGTCAATGCTCAACATCTTGGCATGGAGAGACAATCAAAAGTTGTTTAGCAGTACTTTGGTCGAGAGTCTCTGATGGGCAGTGGGCAGCTCTGGGGTCCATGAGGCTAGGAAGGACCTCTCCTTGAAAGGGCACCATAAGGCATTGTAGATGTTGCATTTAGATTCAGTCTGGTGCTGATGGTCTGTTTGTACTTCTGCAGTTTCAGAAGGAGCGCTTTAAGATCGACATGCCACATCGTTTCAAGACCCATAACTACATGAGCCCGACCTTCTGTGACCACTGTGGGAGTCTGCTGTGGGGAATGGTCAAACAAGGCCTCAAGTGTGAAGGTAAGGAAGACGTTTTATTGATTGTTGTCTTTCATCTGTTTTCCCTTTCTTTCTCAATGTCTTTTTGTTTCTTCTCTGTCTCTTTCTCTGTTAATATCTAATGCAACTAACTCCCTCTGTTCAGAATGTTGCATGAACGTTCATCATAAATGCCAGAGCAAAGTTGCCAACCTCTGCGGAATCAACCAGAAGCTCCTGGCTGAGGCTTTGACTCAAGTTAGCCTGGTAAGTGATTCAACCAGTCAACCTCGGCTTTTTTTCAAGACATTTGCAGTAACAATTTGTTTTTATAAACCTAAAAGATTACATAATTTTTTGGGTTTTCATGGGTTCATATGAAGCATTATGCTGTTCTCTGCATCAGTATATAACAAATTCCCAGAAATAAAACACACAAAATCTAACATGCGTACTGTTTCATTGATTGTGTTTAGAAATCTTCCACAAAGCGTCCAGATCCCTCTCTGTCGGAAATTGGAATCTATCAAGCCGTAGATAAAAACATGCCAGTGGACCCTAGTGGTGAGTTTACATTACTGCATATTTCCTATTGCATTATTGCTTCCCTTAGCTTTGGTACTTTGTATTAGATTAGCTTTCGTTTTATTTGAATATAAAGTGGCCCCAAAACGTTTCACACTTAAAACTTTCATAAATTTAATTTAATTAGATACAAAATATCAAACAAAGTGGCATCTGCTAAGAAATAGTTTTTCTCACCCGTGTCATTTTTGCAGCTGGTGTCACTGTGAGTTTTATTGGATGTATGAAATCACTTCCCCTCAAATTCACTTTCTGTGGCCTCTAATGAAAATCTAAAGAAAAGGATCTTGTTTTAGAGTTATTTTTGTATCTTTGAGATACTTACATAGTTTTTATACATATTTTGAATGATGCCATTTTATTTTAGTATTTTTTTATTTTCTGCTTTTATTTTCATTTGAGTAATTTTGTGGTGTATTTTGTTTGTGGTGTCATTTTTTTCTTTATATATATACACAGTATATATATATACAGTATATATATATAGCGAGAGAGAGCGTATAAAGTTATAATAAATCAAAATAATAATGTTGCCCTGGCAACTTGCTAAAATAATACATGTTTTATATATTATTTTATTTAAATCAACATTTATTTTATCTCAAATTATAACCTTGTCTTGTGTTTATCAATGTGTGGAAACTGGTGTATATTTGTCTATATGTATATTTGTGCTTATAAATATTAGCGGAGGGCTCTCAATATGGAAAACTGTGGGACAATAGGACCCCTGCCTCTCCCAGCACCACTATCACACCCCGCGTCTCCATAAGCAACTTTGTGTTCCATAAGGTACTAGGCAAAGGCAGCTTTGGAAAGGTAAGAAACCCACAGTATACAGATTTCTGCATTGTATTATAATGAAGTCCTGTCTTTAAACCGTTCCCATGTTCTATCAGGTGATGCTCGCTGAGCTCAAAGGAAGGGGAGAATATTTTGCTATAAAGGCCCTGAAGAAGGATGTGGTGCTAATGGACGATGACGTGGAGTGCACAATGGTGGAAAAAAGAGTGTTAGCATTAGCCTGGGAAAACCCTTTCCTCACACACCTCTACTGCACCTTTCAGTCGAAGGTGAGCATTCTTCCAAATAATAACGTGTTACACGTACACTACCATTCGAAAGTCTGGGGTCTCTCTTATTCAGCAAGGACGCATTAAATTGGTCAAGAGTGACAGTAAAGATGTTTATAATGTTTCAAAAGATTTCCATTTCAAATAAAAGCTGTTGTTTTCAACTTTCTATTCATCAAAGAATTCTGAAAAAAAAAAATGTGTCATGGTTTCCAACTGTTTTCAACATTGACAATAAAAAATTATTCTTAAGCACCAAATCAAATTTTTTTTTGAAAATGTAGCTTTGCCATCACAGGAATACTTTCCGTACCCACTGTATATATATATATATATATATATATATATAGCGAGAGAGAGCGTATAAAGTTATAATAAATCAAAATAATAATGTTGCCCTGGCAACTTGCTAAAATAATACATGTTTTATATATTATTTTATTTCAATCAACATTTATTTTATCTCAAATTATAACCTTGTCTTGTGTTTATCAATGTGTGGAAACTGGTGTATATTTGTCTATATGTATATTTGTGCTTATAAATATTAGCGGAGGGCTCTCAATATGGAAAACTGTGGGACAATAGGACCCCTGCCTCTCCCAGCACCACTATCACACCCCGCGTCTCCATAAGCAACTTTGTGTTCCATAAGGTACTAGGCAAAGGCAGCTTTGGAAAGGTAAGAAACCCACAGTATACAGATTTCTGCATTGTATTATAATGAAGTCCTGTCTTTAAACCGTTCCCATGTTCTATCAGGTGATGCTCGCTGAGCTCAAAGGAAGGGGAGAATATTTTGCTATAAAGGCCCTGAAGAAGGATGTGGTGCTAATGGACGATGACGTGGAGTGCACAATGGTGGAAAAAAGAGTGTTAGCATTAGCCTGGGAAAACCCTTTCCTCACACACCTCTACTGCACCTTTCAGTCGAAGGTGAGCGTGCTTCCAAATAATAACGTGTTACAGACACTACCATTCAAAAGTCTGGGGTCTCTTTAATTCAGCAGAGAGCTACTGATGAATATGGAATGTGGTTGTGCAAAGTGAAATATCTTCCTGTCAAATGACGTAGATATATGGTTACAGTAAAGCAATTGCAGGAACAAAGCTTTGTTACCATTATCATGATGTATGCCGTAGAACTCGTTCCCCCCGTTACACATGCTAAGTTTGCGTGACTGTCGGGATTTGATCAGCTCACGTCAGCCTGCTTGGCATGTGTGAGGGACCATAGGTTTGACATCAAACATTATGAGAATGACATGGAATATTGTAAACACAAAATAACAGGTTCTGTTTGAGATCTCATGCTATATCATGAAATTACAGCTTTGAGGAATAGCTTATCAATGTGTCTGTGCAGTCTGGAAATGTTTTGAGGGGAATAACACAAAATATGAGTGCTATGTGAAATTGCCTTGCCGTCAGCTTTGATTTTCCTTGTTTGACAGGCTCACACAAAGATCTAACCAAGATAATTTGCTTTAGAATGATGTGTTGTTGTCATTCTTTCCAGTAAAATATATTACTATCCACTTAATAATGATGATGATCTGTGTGTTTATCAATAGGAGCACTTATTCTTTGTGATGGAGTATCTGAATGGAGGAGATCTGATGTTCCACATTCAGGATAAGGGCCGTTTTGATTTGTACAGAGCCACGTGAGTGACATCCGTTCTGAATAAATGATCTCAAAACTGTTAAACAATTGCTGTAGCATATCTATACCGTTTATCTTCCATAATCAAGAAATAATGTTTTTTGTGAAAAAACAGTAAGTGTTTTGGTCAAATCTGTTTCCTGTCACAGGTTTTATGCTGCTGAAATCGTCTGTGGACTACAGTACCTCCATTCTAAAGGAATTATATACAGGTATATACATTGTATAATTATATACATTATATATGGTTCCTTGTTGTGATTTTTCTTTTTTTCTTTTTTTGATTGGGTCAGTGTGATTTTGTATTTAATAGTTTTATTATTTCAATTAAATGCTGTTCTTTTCAACTTTCTATTCATTAAGGAATCCTGAACAAAATGTATCACAATTTACACAATACTATTAAGCAGCGCAACTATTTTTTAACATAGATAATAATAAGAAATGTATCTTGAGCACCAAATCAACACATTAGAATGGTTTATGACGGATCATGTGAATGAAGACTAGAGTAATGATTTGCCATCACAGGGTTAAATTATATTTTAAAATAAAAAAATTTTTTACAATATTTTGTAATTATATTTTACAATATTACTGTTTTCAATTTTGTATTACAATTTTGTGTTAATTTGAAAAAATTTAATTTAGCAGAATGATGCTCTTTTCCATACAATGAAAATTACCAAACAAAAATGGGCCATAAAAGTCCATATGAATTACATTTCTCAAATGGACCTCATGCCTGTTTTTCTGTCTAATCAGAGATTTAAAGTTGGACAATGTGATGCTGGACATTTATGGACATATTAAGATTGCAGACTTTGGGATGTGCAAAGAGAACATGCTTGAAGAAAACAGAGCAACCACGTTCTGTGGCACACCAGATTATATAGCTCCTGAGATCCTGCTGGGACAGAAATACAGTTTCTCTGTGGACTGGTGGTCGTTCGGCGTGCTGCTCTACGAGATGCTGATCGGCCAGTCGCCGTTCCAGGGCGATGATGAGGATGAGCTGTTCGAGTCGATCCGCATGGATGTACCTCACTACCCACGGTGGATTACCAAAGAGACCAAAGACCTGCTGGAGAAAGTGAGTCTGACCCACTGATTTATCTTAATGAACACCGTCAGCACTGATGCTTTATGGAGTCATTTATTTGTACTGGCCCGCCACCCTTGCAGGAAATTTATGTTGTCAGAATTTAAATCTGTGTCTTCTACATTTTCACAGTTATTTGAGCGGGATCCAACTCGGCGGCTTGGTGTTGTGGGAAATATCCGTGGACATGCCTTCTTCAAGTGAATGCTAAATAGAAATATATATATATATATATATATATATATATATAAAATGACAAGCTTAAATTAAAAACTAAAATTATGAAAATAAACGCAAATTCAAAATATTAATAACTACTATAATAGTATATAAATAATACTAAAATGACACTGCAATGAGTGGTGTTAAGAGAGGTTTCACCTTCATGCATTCATCTTATAATTGAATCTGATTCATTGCATCATTCAAAGTAATGCAATATAAAGGTAAATAATGAAAAGCGAGGTCTGTTTGTGTTTTATAGCTTATTGCTGTACTCTGAAACAAAAGGCAGTAGCAAAATATCTGTCATAAATGTTTAGCTAGTGTAGTGTTCATGGCTGAAAACTTGTGAAGAAGTTCATGATAAACCAATAACCTTTGTCTTATGTGTGCTCTAATGATGACATTACAATCGGTGTTGGGGAAAGTTACTTTTAAAAGTAATGCATTACAATAATGCATTACTTCATATTTCAACACACTTCAGCAATAAAAAAAGACACACAAATGTTTGTCTAGAGTCATTTTTTTGCTTGTTAGTATGGTTGAACTGGATCATCGAAGTTGCGTTACTTATTTGAAAAAGTAACTCAGATATTCTCTTGTAAATTAAAAAGTAATGCGTTACTTTACTAGTTACTTGAAAAAAAGTAATCTGATTACGTAACTCGCGTTACTTGTAATGCATTACCCCCAACACTGATTACAATAACCGGAAATGTCTTTTAAAGAGGCTGTATCATGTCATGAGCAATCAAATTTTCCTTGATCTGTTGAGATAAGAGTTGGATTTATGATGGAAAAAAATACTGTAACTTTCAGAAATCAAAACCTCCTTCCCAGTCCAAGTGGACAATTTATTCAGTAAGTTACTGACGTCAGGCTGATGAATAGATTGCCACATTTATAGTATACTGTACGTCATCAGTGCCTATTTGGTATTCAGAAACTTGACCCGCCATGTCATTGTACTATTATTCCTGCTATTATTTCTCCAAACAAATATTTGTATTCCTAAATTGCATAAGAATTAATGATAAAAGTCAAATGAGGGGAAATCTTACAAACCTTGTTTTTTTTTTTTTTTGGCTGCGTGTAGCACCTACATCTCTGCATATCTTTCGGTAGAATCACAACATTAGGAAAGGGTGTCTGAATTTATTTTTTAACAGGGTCCCTGATCATTTCAAGGTGGCCTCTGGAATCTTAACAGTTTGAGCAGCACATTATAGTGTAGATTGTTTTGTGAATCACAATGTTCACTAATGATCAAAAGTTTGGGGTCAGTAAGACTCTGGCTTTTATTTAGTAAGGATGCATTAAATTGATCATAAGTGACAGGAAATATATTTATAATCTTACAAAAAGAAATCTTTGTCATTTAAATGCTGTCAAAAAACTATTAAACAGCACAAATGTTTTGAATATTGATGATCATTAGAAATGTTTTTGAGGACCAAAACAGCATTTCAGAATGATTTCTTAAAGATCATGTCAAGACTTCATTAAAAAAAATCTGAACCTACATGTTTTAAAGGTAGCGTAATGTAGAGCTTTTTTAGTTCTACCAAGCTCCGTGTTAAGGGTTCTTGGCGTTTTTTGTTAATTCTGCTCATGTGAAAAAACACAACAGACACCCACGTCACACCAGACAAAAAATGAAGTAGGATATGAGCCCTTTAACAGACTTGAAAGTTACTTCAGGATTATTTTCTGACATCTCTCTTCCTCTACTTGCAGAAATCCCCCAATGACTGTAGCAACTTTGACCGGGAGTTCCTCAGTGAGAAGCCCCGTCTCTCTCAAAGTGACAAGAACCTGATAGACTCTATGGACCAGTCTGCCTTTGCTGGTTTCTCTTTCATTAACCCCAAAATGGAGACCATTATGGAAAAATAAGACATTCTGACCTGGATAAATAAGACACTGCAAACCTGCCCAACTCAAATCAGAAATGGCGTACAGGAGCCAGGAGTTCGACCAGTGTTACACTTGTTATACTGTCTGGATGGTCCAAATAGATAATGCTGTATTTATGTCTTCTTTAATCAAATGATCAAAACTTTAAATCAAAAATGTATTTGATGTACTATATTTGTAATTGTAATATCCCTAACATAGATATATGTATACATGTTCATGTGATTAAAAAAATACACTTACTATCATACACACATCCACACAAACAGACAAGAAGGGATTCTAGAAACCCAAAAGAAAGGGACTGTATATTTTAGTCTGTTTAATATGCTGGGACTTTGCAATTTGACTGAATAGTGGCCTTCTTAACACTCTTGAATCCTTCTTGTTTGCCCTCATACAATGTTTCATTGTTAAACATAGAGGGTAAACCAAGAAGGTTCGTTTGTGGGATGATTTGGTGTTTATTTTTTTGTATCTATACTTTCTTGTTGATCTGAAACAAGTTTTACATTCTAAGTTTTAACTTTAAGGTGCTGATTTTGCCAGCGTGAGCTGGGCAGGCACAAAATAGTGTTTTTTTTTTTCACTATGGATCTATAAATAATGTAAGTCTTGTGTGGGTGAACCTAAAACCTCTGCAATATGAAAACCTAGAAATATCAATGTCTTGCTAGACATATTGTTTATCCATTGGGTTACTTTTATGGTACTGTAATAAGTAGTATATTGGTACAGTATGTTGTTGGGTGGAGGATATACATCTGAGCAAGTGAGAGTATAAATATATGGACTATTATTTAATGTTGATAATTTAATAAAGTATGATACTGTATATAACAATATATGTATATTGTTCTGAACTGTTGTTGTTACTGGAGGTAATAATGAACCGGTTTTTTTTTACACTGAATTTACTCGGAACTCAACACCATTAAAGGTTTCTTCAACTTTATTTTTTTTAAACTTTATTGTCGTGTTTGTTGCACCTTCATTCATGTAATCATACTTTCTACAAAAATGCCATACCACCACTGCCTTTAAAATTAATAACCTTAAAAGGAGATCCCATATTAACTGAGGTTCAGAAACTGTTTGATAATTTTGCTAAAAGAACTGACAGGAAGGCGTTTGTTCAGTTTACTTTGTGCTGAGCCGTCATCACCGTCCATCACAGCCGCATAAACTCAATTATAAGGATTGAAACTGCTGCCATCTAGCGGAGGTGAGTTTAACCTGCACGTTAAGCCTAGTTTGACCTAAAGATCCCGGAGCATTTCAGCAAATTCAGGTCCGCCGTTAAAATGCGTGACTAAATTTTACTTTTGATGTTGAAGGGTCTAAAAAAAGTTATTGGTGTATTTTACACAGAGGTGCCAACTATAAATGAAAGTGCGGACTGTCTTGATTTCATGTGAGCATTTTTACATGGCGGTTTGTGTAAACAGTCACATGACCAGAGCTGTTTAATTTCAGTTTGTCCCTTTGAAAGATGATGTGTGGGTCAAAGCTACATAAAAGGAAGCACGTGAAACATGTTAGTATGCAGGTGTAACTATCATATATGATGCATATAATATTTCAAAGGTCTATTAATATTAAAATGGCTAAAAATCATGTTCACATGCAAACATGTCAGTGGTCACATGTTTGATCAGTGGGAAGCCCATTTTGAATAAAATACTGATTGATTAACATTATAAAACTAGATTTCAAAAGTAAAAACAGATGTGCATCTATTATTTGATTATCGCTTCCTTTTTGCCACAGTTTCCTGATAGAAATAATAAAGTAGCTTATATGCTACATTTTTGTTTACTTTCTGGTCTTACTCTGTATAGTTCCCAGTAGTTGAGACCAGGAATAAAACATACTTTAATTTCCACAATTACTTTCATTAACCTTTTTTTTTTTTTAATGCAGTTTGTTTTGGGTCATCCATGATATAAAAAAAAATGCACTCACTTCTGAAAAAATGTGATTAAATTAGTAAAAGATAATTGTATAACATAGTTTACAAAAATGTGCATCCTGTTGCCAAAAGATTAGATACTAAGTGTGTAAACCAAGACTATCCAAAGGTTTTAAATAAAGTAAATTAGTTAAAAAGATATTTAGTTTCTGTTTCGTTTTTCAATAAGCCCTGTCTTATGGGATAAATTATTTTATCTGTACTTTATGACAAATGTCAGTCCCTAACCTGGCAATCAAAGCTCATACTTATTTTAAACCGTGCTTTGAAATGTTGACTAGACACCAAAAGGAAAATGGAGATTTTGTTCAAAACAAAGTTTCTGAATAAATAATTTCATCTTCAATATGCTATACATGAATTAATCATATATAAAATGTACAATCCGTGTCTCCACATAGAAGGGGCGAGAAAGATGAATTACACAGAGGCTGGCTGCTCAGTGTGGCGCAGTTGCGAGAGATTAAGCTCTGTTTAATGGAACATTCTAGCCAGCAGGACAAACACTTTACTGAACAAAACGGCAGAGAGGCAGGGCGGGAAACCTTCTTTACCACATTACAGATTCTATTCATCCCGATAATTTATATAAACCAGAATAACCGCTAACCTCCGCGCGGTGAAGACCTGAACAGGTTATGCACCCGTTTAATATTGCATCCCAGCGATTTTATTGTTCAGTCTATGCACATTTCCAATAAAAAAATCTAATAATCAACAAAAGTGCTGCTTTAACGTTATTTCAGTGTTGTTTCGGTGGGACAACATAAAGATTGTGTTGAAATATGTAGCAAGTTCGCCTTTTTAATCGCTGAAAGCCAACGAATATCAATCCCCGGGCTCGCGGATGAGAGGCTCGCGCGAGAGGCGACGCATGCGCGCTCACACTTTGTGCCATATTGGAATGAGGTCGTGAACGACTAGGCGGAAAAAGACACGGCATCTAAAACCGACTTGAAAAACTCCTCACTGGTAAGAAACGAAATGCATTCCCAAATATTTATGTATTTTACCCTTTGCCCTATTCGACCTTGGCTTTAACGAGTGATTTCGCGTTGCCTGCATCTTTTTTCCCGTCTCCAAAAAAAAG